GTGGCTGGAAGCGGTCCCAAAATGTCCATGTGTACTCTTTCCCATGGCTGAACAGCTGTTGGAAACTTCCTCAAAGGCTCAACAGTTGCCTGATGAGGATCCGTTTTTCTTTGAGCACATTTCAGACATCTGTTGATGTAGTGTGTTACATCATCCTGTATTGCTGTCCACGTGAAACGGCGTTCGATGGCTTCGACAGTCTTATTTATTCCCAGATGAGCTCCAAGCAGGATTTCTTCGTGAAACGATTTAATTATTGGAGTTGTTATTAACTCATTCCTGGGTAATATGATGATCTTATTTTCAAACCTCCTTCTCTTCTTTATGTACAACACTCCATTATGTGTTGTATATCTCTCCGTTAAACTCCTGTTCGCTGTTTCATCTTGCAGCTTGGTCAACGTCTCTTTAATCCATGGTGTTTGCTGCTGAATTGATCGGATTGAATCAATTGTTACATCGAAAGTGTTGATGGCCACTCTGCCCGTTTCTTTTATCAGCTCCACTTTTTGCTTTTTCTTCAGCCTTGCTTCTTTTGTCGTTGGTTTTGCTTCGTTTGTCTCGTCTTCAAAATATCTGGATAAAGCATCACATACGCTATTTAATCTTCCTGGGCGATAAACGATGTCCAGGTTGTATTCTTGGAGAACCATCTGATACTTTGCGAGTCTTCCAATTAAATCCTTTCTGGTCATTAGGCTTGTCAGTGGCCTGTGGTCCGTTATGACTTTTACTGGTGCACCTAAGATATAAGTACGAAATTCTGATACCGCGAATGTTAGCGCTAGAGCTTCCACTTCAATTGCTGGGTATCTTCTTTCTGTCTTATTCAGTTTTCTGCTTATGAATGCTATAGGGTGTTCAGGTTCACCTTCCTCTGGAGATTGTAATAAAACTGCTCCAATAGCAATCAGGCTTCCGTCAGACTCGATCGTATAAGGGCGTCCATGAATGGGTGGATGTAGGACCGGAGCTTCACAGAGTGTGTCCTTTAAGGTCTGGAAAGCAGTTTCTTCTTTCTGCTCCCATTTCCATTCCTGATCTTTCTTGGTCAAATCGTAGAGTGGAGTGGCTATTTGGGCTGCATCTTTGATAAATCGCCTAAAATAGTTTACTACTCCCATGAAAGCTCGTACTCCAGTGCGGTTTAGAGGTCTAGGGTATTCTTTGATGGCTTTGATCTTATTAGGGTCCGGCTTGATCCCGGTCCTCCCTACTACGAATCCTAGGAATTTTACCTCTTTGCATGCAAACGAGCACTTCTTCAGCTTGATTTTTAAATTCATCCTTTCGATTGCTGCTAGCAATTCCTCGATGTCCTTTAAATGTTCTTGGGCTGTTTCGGATACTAACAACAAATCATCCAAGTACACGAAGAGTTTGCAACGAACGTAAGACTGCAAATGTCTTACTACATTTTGAAACGTGTGGGGTGCTCCGCAGAGTCCCATTGGCATCCTTTTGTACTGGTACGTCCCACTGGTTGTCGTGAAGGCAGTTAAAGGGCGATCTTCTTTCTTTAAAGGAATTTGGAAGAATCCGGAGACGAGGTCGAAGTTGCTGAAATACTTCGCTCCGGCGGCTAAATCAAGGATATCCTGAATGTTAGGAATTGTATAGATTTGTTTTTGAGTTATTCTGTTCAAAGCACGGAAATCAGTGACAAATCTATACGTGTTATCCTTTTTCTTTACCAAGATAACTGGGCTTGTTGTTAGTGATGCTGATGGCTCGATTATATCTTGGTCTAGCATCTCCTCTACCTGTCTTTCCACTTCCTCTTGTTGACTTAGTGGGATACGATAGGTCATTCGGAACTGGGGAGTTACTCCTTCCATGATGGGAATAGTATGCTCTATGAAACCAACAAACTTCCCGATGAATCTATCCTCATTTAGAAAAGCCTCTTTGTTTCTTCTGATGATTTCTGTTAGCACTTTTCTTTCTTCTTGATTGAAATCGGACGTCTTCAGGTTCAGTTCTTCCATGAAATCTTCTGGGAAATAAGGCAATCTGTCTTCCCAGTTGGCTTCGGGTGGACAGTAGGAATCGAATGGAGTGTCAGGAGCGAGTTCTGAATGATCTTTAGTGACTTCTGCTGTACCTATTGTTTGATGAGTATTGATGCTGATGTCATGATCCGTTACATTAGTGAAGAAAATTGACGTTCCTGCTCCAGATGGAGTGAGGATCGTTGTTGGAAATCTCATTTTGCATTTTTCTTGGTTTACTTTGATCCTTGCATGTGAATATTTCTCGATATCATCTATTTCTACTGTTAGAGCTTTTGTTTCTCCTGGTCTGAAGTTTTTCTCTTCTAGGCTTACGACAAACGCTTCTACATCCGTTCTTCTCCATAGGTGCCTGTTCTTAGTTAATGGCACGAATTCATCTCCTAACTTCAGCTTCTTTGATGCAGGTTTTATTTGGAAATCCAGACCCTCGTTTTCCAATGCCTCCATGAAATCTACTCCCAAAAGTAAAGGAGCTGGGCAATGCATATCTGCTGAAACATAGAACTTATGTTCTGTTTCGTACCGTCCAATGGAGAGAGGAATTCTTGTATATCCATAGAACTTGAACTCAGATCCGTTTGCTGCGACAGCTGTCAGGTGTTCTCTAACCAGTGATACTTCGGGCAACTCTGCGAAAACGCTGAACTGGATATAGGAAACAGCTGCACCAGAATCCCATAATGCTGCAAACAACCTATTATGAACTCGTACCGGTACATATGGTAATTGAGTTCCTTTGATTGAGTGAATTGCCACATTTGGTGTTATTCCAGGAAATTGCTGATGAAAGACTTCTAGGGAGATGGGTTGGGATCCATCGTAGAGATCTTCACGCTGAAATTCTTCTTGAGGGGCTGAAGGCATACGTTTCCTTTTAAGAATTGGTCTTGGTTTCGTGATTTCTTCGACTTTGCTCGTAGTGATTTCTTCTAATTCGTACTCTTCTGGGACCGTCACGCTTATTCTATTGACTGGTAGTCCTCTGCTGCAGGCGTACAACTTTATCACGAAAACTATTAAAGTTATGATTCCTAATACCACAATAATTATGCCTATAGATGTGAGTATACGTAAAAACCAAAGACTAATCTTATTCCATAGAGGGGAAATCCAATTCCATATTTTGTCTTGAACGTAACTCTGAGCGTTTTCCACTTCCTCGACAATGGTGAAGATACTTGCTGCTGCTATCCTCATTGGGTTGATTGTGAAAGCTTTTCTTGTAATTGTTCTAATTCTTCCTCGAACTTGAGTTTGGAGTGATGCCAAACTAGATCCATACGCAATTGCTAGTGACATTGGCAAGGTTTCTGTATAATTCTCATAGATGTTATTATGATTATACTTGATATGTTCTATTTGGAATGACGGGGAGTTATCATTTCTGTGCACTAATGTTGCATTAATGATACCATTGGTGGAATTCCATCTTTCTCCTGTTCTCCATACGTCTGCAATGATCATTTTGCACGATACCTCGTGACCAGTAATTTGTAGATCTTTTGATCCTGGTATTGCGAAGTATAAATGATCATCTTCCGATATCACAGGAGTTTCCAAATAACACGAATCATTAACCTTATGATCGTAATGAATCTTCTTGATATTGATTGGAGTGCAAGGTGTAACGAATAATATTTCTTCTCCTACAAAGCGGGAAGTTATGTCGTTCCTACCTAGCATTGTTCGCATTCCTATGGTTGGGTTGATTTGCAGGATTGCCCACCATGTTTCTAGTTGTATATTTTGAACTCGGCAAATGCTTTCTCTTGTGGCGTGAAAACTATGCATGATGTCTTCTTCCAACTGAGTCGTGGCGAATTGAAGATGTCCTTGGTTCTCAGCTCTTTCCAGGTTTTCATTCCACTTTTGTTGGATTTCCATCTTTTTCTTGGCGTAGTTTCCATAATTCACTTCCTCTTGGTTCGTATCAGCCGTAGTTGTTATTGATCTCTTCGTTGTAGAGGCTTTAGTTGTAATTAAAAGGCTTACGTCTTCCACTGGTTTTGGGGTCGTAGTTGACATTGGCTTCTTCGTCGTAGTTGCTATCATTGGTTTCGGAGTGGTCGTCGTCCTGGGCTTCTGCGTAGTCGTTGGCTTTGGCGTGGTCGTCGTGGTTGTTGGCTTTGGCGTAGTAGTTGTGGTCGTTGGCTTTGGCGTAGTTGTCGTTGTCGTTGGCTTCGGCGTAGTAGTTGTAGTCGTTGGCTTTGGCGTAGTTGTTGTAGTCGTTGGCTTCGGCGTGGTTGTCGTTGGAGACATTCCTGGAGTTTGAAAAAGTCTTATAAACGTATCTTGAAATTCCTTTTCGTTTCCAGCAGGTAATTTCAGTCCATCCATACGTTTTCTGAATCCAAATGCGGCATCCTGGTCATCGAAAATAGTAGTATAATTAGGGAATTTTATCGGCTTCATTTTGGCCGTAATTATTTTTCTTTTCCAATTCTCGTCGTCGTTTCTTCTTTGAGTTTCTGCTTGATGACCTAGGACCATTTTGACATTTGCGATTGCTTTAGTGATATTTTTCTCTTCTTGTTTCTTCTTCTCTAGCTGATCGGGCTTGATTGGCTTTAGCAAAGTTGGCTTTTTAGGTGGCATGAGTTGAAACACAAACTCGGAGAGTGAGGGAACAATGTCTCCGGAAGGCATAACAGCTGGGGTCTGAGCAAGTTTTAAAGCTATTTGTTTACCTCTGCTGAAGTAATCTCCATCGAAATTTCCAACTTGCTCATTGAATTCCTTTACTGTTATACGTTTTCCTAACATGGCGCAGAGTTCTCTTGGGGACATGCTGTAGATCCAAATTTCTGTTGCCTTCATTATTTCTGCTTCAACCATAGCATGGAGAATAGCCAAATTGATATCTGTATAATTATGCCATTTAAGCCTTTCTTCTAAACTAGCGTTGTTTATGTTTAGAAACTTAAATATTGCTGCGTCCTTATTGTTGTTGCTCATCCAATTATAGAGATTGTAATCTGGATCTGCCTCTTTCCTTTCTACGTAGTGTTTATAGATCCTTATC